AGTAGGTTACTGTAGTGGCTACACTAACAAATGGATTAGATGACTAAGAATACCATTTTAAACTCACCCTATTTCTGAAGACTCTAGTTGATGCCTTACTCATCGTTGAGAAGTAAATAAATGTTGAAGTTATAATGAAAACAATCGAAGTAAGATAAGCTTATTTCCCTTCTCAACTTACGAAAAGGGAAAAAAATTTACAATCCTCAAAAAAGAAAAAAAAAGGATACTCTAAGGCTAAAAGCCTAACCAGCAACATTGTGACTACATTACACTGAATACTTTTCGACAAAAGATTTTAATAAAAATTGAAAAAAAAACCTCGAGTTTAGATGGTGTAAGCCATTGAGCCAAAACAATAAAAAAAAAAACTCGATGAAGAAATGTGTCTTCTATAGAGATTATAACAATTTTGAAAATTACACCGACCTAATGAATAAGATTGAAAATTTGATCAAAAGAGGTCAATTGAGTATATTTGTGGATCGAATAAGGCTAAAACAAAGGAAAGGTGATTTCAGAAGAAGAGATTAATGAGAAAAAATAGGAAAAAACTAGAAAAATAGAGGAAAAAAAAGGAATCAAGTTGTTGATCATAGTATCGAGCAAAAGGAAGAAGAAAGAAATAATGTGGACAACAGACCCATTGCAGGGATAATCAATGTGATCACTAGAAGAATTTCAACATTGACCAAAAAAAGCTTGATCAAAGACGAGCTAATCTCTTTTGGTTTAAAATATTTAGAAGGGATCCAATTCATACATGATAATGCCATTGTCATTTAGGACTTGGTCTACAATCATGTGGTTAAGAGGATATTATTTGGCAATGAGAATTCGACTAACGTCTTGTATTATTCCACAATGCTAAGAATAAGGATAATAAAAAAGATGCTAAAGCTTTTTATTGGCTTTGAAAATGAATAAGTGCTAATGAAGGGAAAAATTAGGCTACTAATTTTGTTAGGCACTAAGCTGAGAAGCGTCACCTTAGTCATAGAATTTATGGTGGTGGATGTCCCCTTAGCTTACAACATGATATTTGGTTAACCTAACCACTTTGTTATAAAAATCATTAGCTCAAATTTTCATCTCAAGGTCAAGTTTTCCACACTAAACAAGGTAGAAAAGGTTCGAGGAGACTAGTCTTGCAAGACAATGTTATGTTATGACCATGAAAAATAAGATCGAAAAACAGATTGATAGTCCAGCTAAGGCTGAAGAGTCCCAAGAAAGAGAAGAACCATGGATCAAGATCAAGGAAGTTGAAAAAACAAAGAAAAACAGTCAAGGTAAGAATAACAGCTAAATAAAAAAAAATTCTCTATTAAGAGCCACACCAAGCTTTTAAGCTTGTCAACTATAAATATTTCTTGAAAACTTTTTTGAAGATTATTTGATGCCATGCTTTCAAGCTGGTATAGATGTTACTTGAACCAAGCTCTTAAGTCTGTCTTATGAATACAAACAAATTACATTTTTGTTTAGCTCATCTCAATATGAATGCATTAATTTACTTCACTAACAAATCAACTACTAACATTCACGTCAGGATTCATCCTTCTCGCAGGAGATAGTCCCAACCTAAAAAGAAAAAAAATGATTATCAATTAAAGGCCTGAAATTGACGTTAGCATATCAGAATCGACAAAAGATTTCATACTTATGCCATTTTTTAAAATAATATTGATAAATGTATGCAAATTGGGATCAAGCTCGACCATAAAGAGCAATTGGTGCAATTACTAACAAATAATGTTAACCTATTTGCATGGACCTCATTATAGATGCTAGGGATTGATCCTTTAGTGATGGTCCACATGTTGCATACTGATCTAAAAATGAAGTCGGTTTGATAGAAAAAGAAAAGCTTTAGCCTTGAAAACTAAAAGGCTATTAAAAAAGATATTGGCAAGCTATTGAAGGTTGGCCTCATCAAGGAAGCATACTACCTTAAATGGATTGACAACGCCATCATGGTGAAAAGGTATATTGGAAAATAGAGAATGTGCATTGATTTCCCTAACCTTAACAAAACTTGCCCAAAAGAAAGCTTTCTTTTGCTAAGCATAGATCAACTTGTTAATAACAGTGTCAAACATGGCCTTCTTAGCTTTATGGATACATATTTAGGCCACAATCAATTAAGATGTTGGAGAAGAACAAGGAGAAAACAACCACTATGATTGGGAATGAATATTGTTTCAAGGTGATGCCATTTTAGCCTAAAAAAATGTAGAAGCAACTTAGCAAAGGCTAGTAAATAAAGTTTTTAAGGATCAAATCACACTTAAGAAGTACAATATAAAGCTCAAACTAAGCAAATGTACCTTTAGTGTCTTGTCGACAAGTTTCTCATTTCATGATTAATTAGAGAGAGATAGAGACAAATCCCAATAAGGTTCAAGATATTTTAGATATGAAGGCAATGACCTTAATAAAAGAAAGTGCAAAAATTGACAGAAAGAGTTGCTACTCTGAGCAAATTCATGTCGAGATCAGCATTTTACTACCTACCATTTTTCAAAATCTTTAGAAATATCTCAAAATTCATAGAACATCATATAGAAACCTCATTTTATGACATTTTAGGATAAGATCATGTCAATTTCAATTAATCTTTTCAATTTTTTAAGATATGATGACAAATTTTATGTATTTATTTATTATTTTAATATTTAGTATTATTTTGGTGAAAATTCAGAAAAAATAAAATTGTATCAAATGAAATTTGTGGAGAAATTTGAACACTGAATTGGTGAGAATTAATGATAATCTCAGCATTTAAAAAGTCCCATAATTAAGTCATTTGATCTTCTACAAAAATCAAAAGAACTAAATCAAAAACTAAAAAGAAAGGTTGAAAATCAAATAAGAAAATCAAAGTCAGATCAAATTTGGAAAAACTGTTTAAAGGATTTGAGGGATTCTAGAAATCAAGGAAAACCAAGACAATTACTTCCAGAAATTAAATCAACATCAAACGGGTTTTAAAGAAAATCAAGAAGGAAATGAAAAGTTCATGAAAATCAAATCAGAGCATAATCCTCTCAATTCATTGCTTTACCTAAAATCTCTAGCAAAGAGCCCCGTATAAGCATCCCAATTCAATCACAACTCACAAGAAGGAGAGACAGAAGAGAATGGAAAGTTAAAACAAAAGGTTGCAACCGACGCTCGAAGAACTCCTTGCCAAAAGGCAATAAAGGGAGCGGCGGTGAAACACGAACAATAAAACAAAAAAATAAAGGAGAAAAGCTAAGGAAGGAGAAAGAATTCTAGCTTCCAATTTCCTGAGCCATGTCTGTCCTAATCCTAACCAAGCAAATAACACTTTCTTTCTAAGCCTTTTGTTTTTTATTCTTATTTGCATTGATTTTTGCTTGGTAAGGTGTGCAAGTTGGGTTTGGAGGTTGCATGAAACCCAAAGCATAAAGCTTGGAAGCATTCAATTGCTAGACTTTATTTTATAATTTGTTATTTTTTTATTTTTATTTAACTATTATGTTTTCCTTAATTTCTTTTATATATGGAATCATTTAAATTACTAAACTTTGAAAGTAAATAAAACTTTTCAATGATGAAATTACAAGTGATAATTTTTTTTAATGATTTCTAAGTGAGAAAGATTTTCAAGATTTTATCAAAAGTATTGAAAGAACTTTGAGGATATTTTAATAAAAGAATTTTTATTTATTTTCTAAAGGTATTAAATAGTTAATTGTAATTTTTTTGTTACATAAAATTTAATAACTAATAAATTAATAAGTAAAATTCTCTGAAGATAAAATTAAGAGAAAATTATAAGTGATAAATTTCTTGATAATTTTTACATGAGCAATTTTTCTTAAATCTTGTCAAAAATGTTGGGAGAATTTTGGAAAATTTTCAATAAAAGGCATTTTATTTATTTTCTCATAAAATTTAATAATAAGTAAAAATTCTCTAATGATTAAATTAAGATTTAAATAAATAAAATTTAAAAAAATGTATCTTTTTTTATTGAATTTTGTGATCTTGGTGAGATTAAGTTTAAATTTGATTTGAACCTCATCATGAATTTGGGCTTCTAAACTTACTATGTTGAAATGAAATAAGTTACAATTCTTAACCCAAGAAAATTTGACTTAAATTAAAATCCAACCAGATCCAATATGAAAGTAAACTTATAAACCCAATTAATTTGAACTTGAATTAAATGGAAAATCATTTTAAATTTATTTAAAAATAATACAGGATTTTTTTTTTAATAAATTGGATGTGCAAAGACTTAACTATTGTATCTTGATCTCTGAAAAAAATAAAAATCGAAGCCGATTTGAATCGGATTCAATTTTTGTTAGTTTCCGTTTGAATAATAAAATTATTTATTTGATTTGGTTTTCAATTCAAATACGAAAAGACAAATTATTCAAATTAAATCAGATTGTATTTTTAATTTTAATTTTATTTTATAAAATAAAAATAATTTTATTTATAAATTGAAATAGATAAATTAGAAATAAGATTCACAAAAATTAAAATTTTAAAAACCAAAGAACCAAATAACAGTTGAATTTCGATTTACGTCATGCGAATTTTTAAAAAATTAAAATGTTGTAAATTAATTGAAATTTTTTTGTCGAAACTGTCAAAGAGTTATCAACCCAAAAAAAAAAAAAAAACACAAATAACATAACAAGTCCATTATTTTACCCAAAAAATAAAATTTGAGAGATTCATTAACAAACCTTTTTCACTATTATAAAGAACAAAATTTTACGCATAGTTGAGACATTGGGAGGATTTTCCCGAGCTATAATATACGTACAAAATCCTTATTATAAAAACAAGTATCTCTATTTTTCTCTACAATTTACCTTTTTTTTTTTATAGTATTCTCTATAATTTACTTTCAATGAAGCTCTTACAGTTTTTTTTTTGGGTCTAATTTTAACATGGTGTCTAACATGAAACAAGAAATCAAGGCGTACCATATGGAAAAACAAAATAACAAAATATATCACTGTAAATTGCATCACATTCAATTAAATTGTTCCAAGTAAACAATGATCACACAATATGACCTGGAAAATAAACAGGATTCACAAGAATGCTATATTACATGGAAGTTGAGTTTCGTATGGAAGAGAAATCAACCAACCGTAAATAATTGTCAGAGCTGCCGCACTCTGGTTAGCGATTTGGGAGTATGAAGAATCAATATAGATGCATCAGCAACAACTGCTTGCAGATGCATCAGGTTGTAGCGGCTTCTGTTTAAAAATGTTCTTTTTGACACCTTTGGAGCCCTCGGCTAAAAGACTCGGAGTATCAAGAATCTGCATAAGAATTGTCATCTCATTGTCAATGTAGGGTTCATGCCCATAACATAATTTCTTAGATATAAAAAAAAATAAAAAAACAATTTGAAGAATTTAAGAGCAATCAAGAAAGAGTGCCAACCCTAAAATATCTGCTTAAACTATCTTTGATATAATTGCACTTACAGCCTACATGCACACTGAAATTTATTTCCCAAACCAAGACATCATGGAGAAAGGCATAAATGTAAGAACATAATAGCAGTTATTTTCAATACCTTTAGAACAAGCTCTTCAAAGCACTGCTGTACGTTAACACGTGTTTTAGCACTACATTCAATGAAAAGGCAACCATATTCTCTTGCAAAGTTTATTCCTTCTTTCTTTGTCACAACCCTCTCACTTTCCTGAAAAGCATTTGATGGTACAGGTATAAGGAAAACTCTCAGACAAACTAAGGAAAATGATAGTGACCCTCGGTGAAGAACAAAAGGAAGGAAGAGGAAGGAAGAGGGAGAGAGAGAGAGATAGGAAAGAAAAAGCAAAACAGAGAGTAAATAAGTGGGAAGAACAAGCAGAGAAAAATCAATTCCAACGGTTCAAATCTTGAAAATTCACAATACCAAATTACTAATTAAAAAAGAAATAATGCAAAGTTCTTATAAAGTACACCGTAGATGTTAATACAAATATAAATACCAAATATAACCCTGAATGCTGTGACGATTCCCCGAATACTAAAAATAGCATTTGAAACCATAAAAGTATCCAGACAATAAAACAAATCTCTAAGTAAGCATGTTCTTGTCCTGCATCGTATAGAATTATAAGGCATCATCATTGATATGTGATGTAACCATGTGGTTTCTATAAAATCCAAACAAGGAAGTATGCAGGGCAACAGGGAAGAGAAAAGAGGGCAGCTTCACCATACACTGACTCAAACTCTTTTTTTTTTTTTTTTCCTAACATGCCCATTCGCATATTAAAAACTTCAAATTGGATATGGACGTGAAGATATGGGCATATGGCACTCCAAATATAAGAAAAAACTTACAAATTGAACAGAGACCATGTCAGATATGTACTAATGCCCAACACTAACTCTAGGCAGCATATTCTGATAGCAAAAAGCATGGAAAAGTTTTAAGAGCATCAAGCAAATGATTTTTGTTTTTTAAAGCTAAGAAAGAATCAATGCAAATAAAATAGCAAATCTAGATTCAGTCATACAGAAGAAAAAAATGCAAACTCTTCAAGAAGCAAATAGAGTGTATTAGTTGCAAATTTTAGGGACCAAAAAACCTTTTTTTGCCTTATTATTCTGGTGAAAACTGTAAATGCAAATTCACCAAAATGGAAAACTATTAATTACTTAGCCAAACCCACAGGAGATGAATAAACAATTCTACCATATCAAGTCTGATACAAGCAGTTTTACAAGTAGAATTTATAGACAGCATGCCAGATACACAAATAGATGTGTATGTGTCTCTGTTGTGTGTATTTCGCTTTTTGAAACCTGTTTCCCTTCAAATGTTTTTGTTATGGACACATCTCATTGTCAAACTTAGCTCATAAAGATGAAAACCATCAGACCATTTTCATTCTATGCTTTTTCTATATATCATTTACTATCTGATTGAACATTGTGCGTTTATGAAGTTCAGTTTTTACACTAAACATATGTCTATTGGTAAAGTGTAACAGCACAGACAATTCCCATCCCTCACCAAGCCTCAAATAGGCAACAAAATTGCTTAATTTCATTTTCCATTGGTGTAATACACAAAACAATAACTGTTTGTAAGGAGAGACAAACATCAGTATGGTTAAGGGAGAGAACAGTTTAAGAGAGCCAAAACAAGATGTTAAAAGGCAAAATAATTTGGAAACCATCTAGACATTATAAAGCAGAAAGGAAACAATAGTATTCATAGACTGCAGAAAAGTTACCTTGTCAACCTTGTTTCCAACAAGCATCTTAATGCAGTCTTGATTTGTTGAGTAGAGTTCGATTTCCTTGGACCAGACTTCAGAAAGATTTGTAAATGTGTCCCTCCGTGTTACATCATAAACTGTTAAGAATGGAGAAAATCTCATATTGAGATTCTCCAAACAAATTAAGAGCAGAAATCCATACCATGTAATAAAATTGATCACCAAGCTAAATGCTAAACAACAGATTACTACACACTTAATGAGCTCAGACTTGAAGAGCATCTGATGTTAATCATGTAAAGATGTTAATCATCTAAGCTGATCACGAAAAAAACCTGAAGAAATCTCTAGAATAAAACTATTTTATTCTTCTATATTTTTCTTATTACAATGCTAGAATTGCATGAAAATATATAGACTAATGATTGAATATTCTCAGCCTTATAACCCAAGATTTTCATGCATTAAAATAGGTAATCAAAGGAGTAATTTACTCTCTACACATAATAGGAAAAAAAATTAATGGATTTGATGTAATTACCCAAATCATTTCTTATTCTAAAAATAAGAGACTTAACTAAAATAGATAAAGTCAACTAATCAAGCAACAATTAATATTAGATTTCCACACTCCCTTTCATGTTGGGTGGTAGATGTCAATCATACCCAGCTTGGACTTTAGATTCTTGAAGTTGTTTCGAGAAAGAGCCTTAGTGAGTATGTCTGCAGTTTTGAGGCATGGGGGAGTATAAACTAATCTAACAATTCCTTCCTCTATCTTCTCTTTGATGAAGTGACGAATAATCTCTACATGTTTAGTACTATCATGATGAACAGGATTCTTTGTTATACTTATGGCAGCTTTGTTGTTGCAGAATATCTTCATGGATTCTTATACAAAGACTTTCAACTCCCCTAGCAACCTTTTCAGCCAAATTCCCTCACATATGCCATGAGACATAGCTCTAAACTCAACTTCTGTGCTCCTAGCCACCACAAGATTGCTTCTTGCTTCGCCAAGTAACCACATTTCCCCACACATAGGTACAATAACCAGTAGTTGATCTTTAGTCAATAACGGATCCAGCCCAATTAGCATTAGTGTAAATTTCAATATTTCGACGTAATGTCTTCTTAAAAAATAACCTTTTGCCATGACTCTTTTTAGGTACTGTAAGATTCAATACACAGCCCTCAAGTGTTCCTCAGTTGGGTTGTTCATGAATCTGCTTACCATGCTAATTGAAAAACCGATATCTGCTTTGGTATGAGAGAGGTAGATGAGTTTTCCAACAAGTCTTTGATATCTGCCCTTATCCGTTGGAAGACTTCCTACTTCCATTCACACCTTATTCATTGTGTCCATAAGGGTGTCAGCAAATTTGCATCCCAGCATTCTAGTTTCCTTTATTAAGTCTAGACATACTTACGCTATGAAACAGATATGCCATTCCTTGAGCAAGCTACCTCAATGCCAAGAAAATATTCGAGGTGTCCCAAATTGTTGATTTCAAATTCTATGGCTAGAAGGTTCTTTAGGTTGCTAATTTCTTCCACATAGTCTCCCGTAAGAATAATGTCATCCACATAGAAAATAAGAATGGCAATTTTTCCTTCAGGTGAATTTTTGACAAACATGGTGTGATCAGTCTGGCATTGTGAAAAACCATAGTTCTTTACCACTTGTGTTAATCTATCAAACCATGTACGTGGGGATTGTTTAAGACCATATAAAGACTTTTGAAGCTTACATACCTTGCTAGAATTGTCCTGATTTTTTTGAATCCTAAAGGGATTTCCATGCAAACTTCTTCTAGGTCGCCATTAAGAAATGCATTTTTGACATCTAGTTGGTGGAGTGACCAATCTAGATTTGCTGCCAATGATAATAACACGCAGATTGAATTAAGTTTAGCAACCGAAGCAAATGTCTCCTCATAATCAACACCATGAGATTGAATAAATCCTTTTGCAACAAGGCAAGCTTTGAATCTGTTAATACTTCCATCTGCATTGTGCTTGATAGTAAAAATCCATTTGCACCCAACTGGAATTTTCTCTTTGGGTGATTCTGAAATCTCCCATGTTTTGTTCTTTTCTAGGGCCTTGATTTCTTCCAAAACAGCCATATTCCACTTTGGTTGCATGAGTGCTTCATGGATATTATTGGGAATCTGCATATTATTTAGTGTGATAACAAAAGCCCGATAACTGGGTGATAAACCTTCATAAGAAATGACATTACAGATTGGGTGTTGAGTACATGATCTCACACCTTTCCTTAGAGTAATCGGTTGATCAAGATCATTAAAAAATTCAATTAAATCAGATTCGGTAAGAGTGTTACCTATGTTGGTTTCAAGTATCTCTGGAATTGGTTCAGATTCTTGGCTTTACTTTGAAGTTGTACATTCTCCTTTATCCTTGTGAGTTTTTTGTCTTCTTGAATAGAGTATCAATTCTTTGTTTGTTTTCTCTTGTGTGGATTTCAAGCTTGGAGGATCTGGTTGGATATTTTGGACTTGAAAGGAGTTGAAGGATCTGGTCTGATGTTTTGGACATGAATGGGAATTTGAGAAGTGTTTGGTGGTTCAGTAATAGGATCTTCCCAAAGTTGATATTCCCATGTGATTGGATTCTCCCCCTGAACGACAGTTTTGGGAAAGAAAGGTTGATTTTCAAAAAAGGTCACATTCATGAAATGGTAGAATTTCTTTGTTACTGGTGAGTAACACTTGTATCCTTTTTGATTCAGGGAGTATCCGAGAAACATGCATTTGATGGATTTCGGATCTAATTTGCTTTGGTTTTGTTGGCTGGTAAGAACAAATGTAGTGCATCCAAACACTTTAACAAGAATAGACAAGATAATTCGAAGGTGAGGATAGGAAATGAGAAGGGATTGGCAAAGGGTTTGAAATTTTAGGACTTGAGAAGGCATTCTATTTATAAGATATGTAACAATAAGAACAGCCTCACCCTAAAAAATGCTTAGGTATATGGGCAACAATCATAAGGGATCTTGCAACTTCCAACAAATGTCGATTCTTTCTTTCAGCAACGCCATTCTATTGAGGAATGTCGACACATGAGTTTTGATGAATCATACCATGCTTCATTAGACATGATCCAAGAATTGAATTGTAGTATTCTCTCTCATTGTCAGTTCTCAACACTTAGATTTGGGTTTTGAATTAAGTTTGGATCATATTGTTGAAGTTTTGGAATAGCCGACCCACTTATTAATTTTTCCTTCATAAGAAATATCCAAGTCACCCTGGTGTGCTCATCAATAAATGTAACAAAGCATCTAGAGCCATTAATGTAATTTACTTTGAAAGGACCCCAAATGTCACTGTGTACCATTGAAAAATGATAGGATGTTTTGTAAAGCCGATTAGGATGTGGTATGATTATGTTTGGATAGTTGGCAAACTTCACACTAAAAGTTGTTAGGATTTTGATTGAATAATGAGAGAAACAAACTTTTAGGGTACAAAAAATTTGGATGACCTAACCGATAGTGCCACAACATAATAGTACTATCTTTATTATTACTGAAGGATGAAGCCACACAAGAGGTCTTTTGATATTGTCTTTCAGAATCATTAGCTTTTAAGATATAGAATCTTGCACACATCTTAGCATTACCAATCATCTTCCCCGAATCCAAAATTCTTAAATTCACACATATTTGGAAGAAATTTAGTAACATACTTAAGGTCTCTTGTAAGTTTGCTTATAAACAGTAGATTGCAACTTAGATTTGGGACAAACAGAACAGAATCAATTATTATCTCTTTGAAAATAATAACAGAACCAGTACCAGTTACTTTTGAAAGTGACCCATCAGCAATTCAAACTATGAAGTTTTCATGACATGGGTTGTATTTACTAAATATAGATTCATCCCCAGTCACATAGTCTGAAACTCCTGAATCCACAATCCATGAATTTGATTTCTCTAGTTTTAGACTCAAGGCACTTAGAAAATTACCTTTTTGTGCTAAAGAACCTTGTTCGAATATGAGTGGTAATGTTCTGCAGTGATTGATAAATGCTAGCTCCAAGGTTAAAGGTAACCTTCAACGTTAGACTCTCCTTTCCGCAGGCCATGTTGGACTCCGAGTGAACATTTTCAAAAGTTCATATCATACTTTGATATCATGAAGAAATCTCTAGAATAAAACTATTTGATTCTTTTATATTTTTCTTATTACAATGCTAGAATTACATGAAATTATATAGGCTAAAGACTGAATATTCTCAGCCTTAAAACCCAAAATTTTCATGCATTAAAACAACTAATCAAAGGAGTAATTTACTCTCTACACATAATAGGAAAATATTTAATGGATTTGGTGTAATTACACAAATCACTTCTTATTCTAAAAAGAAGACTTAACTAAAATAGACAAAATCAACTAATTAAGTAATAATGAAGATTAGATTTCCACAAAACCTTTAGCACATAGTCAATAACTTGTAGAGATAAAAGGAAGAAGAAAACGTCCAATCACTTAAACCAGGCCAAGGCAGAATGTAAACCTTGTAGCTAGAGCAAAAAAGCAAACAAAACCATAAGAGAAAAAAGTGCATTTTAAGTTGACATAAGCAAAAACTTAACAGTTTCATGGTTTCATGTCAGTTCCTTCTCACTGTCTCCATTCAGTAATTCTTATTTACAGAGGAAGACCAACAAATACATGTTTTTTTTTCTTTCCTTTTTTTGAGGGGGGAGGCTAAAAATGAAATAAAATAAAATAAATTAAACATACATTCGATGCAAAACAGTGATTGTCTCACTTCCACAGTTTTACAAAAAGATATACTCCAATGAGAAATTAAACCAGGAATTTTCCCAAGAAAATAAAGAATAAAGGGCACAGGAATTGTGAGAGGGGCAGTTTTACAAACATAAAAAGAGGGAAAATAATTACCCATAATGATCCCTTGTGCGCCTCTGTAGTAAGAACTTGTCAATGTTCTGAATCTTTCTTGCCCAGCTGCATGCACATTCAGCATAGATAAGTCAGACTCAACCGAAAAAAGAACCCCCTACATGAAGTCATAAGCAATAAAAATAGCAAATTTCTGATCATGTAGAACTTATTTAAATCACAACATATAATAAAATCAATAAGCATTCTCATAGCAAAAAGATCAAGCACTAAAGGCCAAACTGAGTAATTTAACAAGCAGGTCTAGCCAAAAGATGACGCAGAGAATGATACAACAATTACCACATAAATTGTTTCATTCACAAATATTTCCAATAAGAACATGCTAGCATCTCGATTCAATGATTCTGTGGGGAAAAAAATGTCCAGACCATTGACAATGTCATTTCTAAAGCAAACACAGAGCTCAGCTCCACATATGCAATTGTCTGTCCCAGAGCACAGTAAGACTAAGTTGGTTCTTAGGATTTCATCATGACCAAGCCCAATATGTGGGCATACAGTGCCCTTTTGCTTCTTGACCTTCGCTTTGAAAAAGCTAGAAAAGCATATCATTTGTGTGTGTGAAAGCAAACTAAGCGTGATCAATGAAAATGAAAAAGCTCTATGTAATGGAATTGCAAAGTATATGACACTAATATATGTGGAGTCTTCATAACATAAATCTTAATGTAAGTAGCATACGCAATTCCCTTAGGCTCCCTGAGCACTTGGTAGATGCTTTTGCTATTTGCCTTTTGCTTCTTTTTTGCAAAAAATAAAATAAAAAATAAAAAATGAATAGAAACCAGCTAACTCTGGGTTCGAGCGGCATTTCACTCACACAACTTATCTGCTGATTCTTCAACATCAATAAATAAGGAAAATAGCAAAAGCATAAACCAAAGAGAGCTTTAGTAAACTCAAACTCTAGACAACTAATCTTAGGTTATAATTTCTTTGAATAAGCTGCTTGTCAGAACCAAGTGACTCTCTAGTCACACCTCTACTTGCCACAATCCTTCCTTATTCTTATAAAAAAAAAAAAAAAAACCTTTGCACTCACCAAATATAGCTGAGCTTGGGCTTTCTCGTTTGAGTAGTAAAAATAAAGGTCTCCATTCCAGAGAAGCTCAACAAAAACTTGACAAAGTTACAGTTGTAGATTAACAGGGAGAGAAAGCAAGCAAAGTAGCCAAAACATCATTGTTTACAATGTCACTATGGCATGACAATTTTCTACCAAAGGACTTATGAAAAACAAGAAAAGTCAAATACTAGATGAAAATACCAAGTTATATAGCACAAAAGTAGAGAATGCAGTAATCATTGAAAACCCACCTCCACCTAATTGAATATTAAAATCAAACAAAAAAAAAGAAAAGAAATAACACATTAGCAAACTTTTAGCTTTTACCTGTATCCCAAATTGCAAGCTTCAGATTCTTACCCCCAGCATTTACATATTTCACTTTAAAATCAACACCTGCTCAACAAAACAAGCAGAGCCGTAAATCAGGACATAAAGATAGGTAAGCAGATTAAAGATTCTTATAATCAGTTTAATGGGAATGTGTTGTAGGCTTAAAGTAATTACGTAATTTATAACCACAAAACACATTTTAAGACTAACCACTACATACTTGATTTCAGATAAACGAAAATTTTTATTCCTCTTACTGTTCATTCATCATATTTCCTTTTTTTTTAATTAAAAAAAATCCAAAGCACAAAGAAACAAAGAAAATATAAACCACATTGCTGATAAAACTATAAAAAATAAAATTAACTTCAGAATTTTGAACAGAACATCCAACATTTGAGACCCAACGGGAGTTAAAATTTAGCATTTGGAAGCTCTAGTCTTAACCAATTTGATAATTTTGTATGATTAAAATAAGGTAGCATTTGTTTTTGTTTTCTCTTCTACCAAAAGCCAAAAGGCAAGTAAGAAAACTATCCATACAAAAGGGAAATCATACATTTTTCTCTAAAAAAATGTTATGTTTTTAATTTTTCTTCAGAATTATTGTTCGCTAATCCGCCTTTTGTTTCTGAAAAAGGAAAAAAAAAAAAACAAAAGTAATATCCAAGAGGGAGCCTAAATATCTTCAAGTTCTACAGATCAAGACAACAGTATTACAAATTATGACAAAAAAATTCAAAAAGAAAAAGAACAGTTTGAATGATTAGAGTTAAAAATGAATACTGACCAATAGTGGGAGAGAGCTCCTCAAAGGTGTCGGAAGTGAAACTTAAAAGAAGACTGCTCTTTCCGACTCCTGAATCTCCGATCATAAGGAACTTGAACAAGTAATCGAACTCCGTTTGCTTCGACGACGGCGGCGATGACTCCATTTTCTATTTAGTTTACCTATTACACACTCTTCAAATTAATTCTTTCAAATAACACCAATTTTTACGATTGAATCTCCCAAATCCAGCACTCTTTTTTTTTTACCTCATTCAACGAATCTAAACCTGCAAAATTAACATGGCATAAAAATCATAAATATAGATTTGGCAATTTCAACGAGATAAAAGATTGAAACTAACAGGATTCTTAATTTTTATCACAATAAAAATATTAATAAAAAAAACCCTTACAGGTTTATTTTTTGGCCAAAAATCCTTGCATGTTAAGATCATGGTTGGTCATACATATTTACAGAATTTATTTTATAAATCAAACAATAATATTTAATGTGAGAGAGAAAGATTAAGATTACCTCTCAAGAAAAAAAAATTTGTAAAGAAAATTTGAAAAAACAGATGAGAGAGCGAGAGAATTAGAAGGATCAAGGGAGCGTAAAAAAAAATAATAATAACAACTGTTAGAACTAGCAACTTGTAAAAGCAAAGGGGCAAAATCAGAATTACGTGAAAATTGGCGCGCGTGCGCACGTGTGGCTCTTTTAGAGACCTGAAAATAAAAATTAAAAAATTAAAAATTGAAATAGTGAGTGATAGGAACGAACAAAACTTTCGACAAATAATTCATGTTGATGTTTTTATCTATGTTTATTTATTAAATTTAATAAATGATTATGAATAATATTTTAAAATTTTTTAATTAAATAAATATATCACAAATATAATAAAATTCATTAATGTTCAACTCGTTTGTAAAAATTTATAGAGCATTCGACGAATAATTTGTAATTCATTTATATTTATTTATTAAATTTAAAAAAAATCAAAAATAATATTTCATGATTCATTAATTAAACAAATAGAGAACAAATATAATAAAATTTATTTATATTTGATTCGTTTATATTCTTATTAAGTGAGGCAAATTACTAAATTCTTAATTTCAATTATCAAAATTTAAATCTTAATAATTTTAAATATAAGAAAATTAAAATAATGAAGTAGAGTCGAGTGTAAATGATAATATTAATTTATTAATAATTTAATGAGTGTGATAAATAATCAAATAAAATTTTATGTAGTAGTAGTTAATAATAATAATAATTTTTTAATATACTAATAATATTAATTTTTAATTTCATAAGTAAAATTAAGAAATTTTCACATGTTTCACTTATTTATTTCTTTAAAAACTTCACCGATAATGAAATACAATAATTTCTCATATTATACACACTACAAATACCCTTTGGAACCAACAAAAATTATTAGATTTTAAAATTCATATCAATGGGATGTTTAGTTTGCAAATTTTTGGATTTCGAGAAAAAAATTATTTAAAAAAATAATATTGAAGGAGAATATGTGATTCCTCAATATTATTGACATTAGGAAATGTAATATTTTTGTATTTGATTATAAAAATATAAGATTACATAATAAAGTCTTTTACTATATTATTCTTAATGACACGTGAATAATATATGAATAGACATGCGATTTATTTAATTTTTTATTTTTTAATATGTAATAATTAATTTAATATTTTTGTTAAATTATTTAAGTAAATGTATTTTATGTTTTATTGCACATATAATACATCTTATCATATATCTTATATACATATATAAAATTCAAAGTCTTTGGCAAAAAAAGAAAAAGTCTAATGCGGATTTTTATTTATTAGTTTTGAATTGATCTTTATTTTGAAATGATAAAACATTAAGCTGATATAAGTTGATTAAGATTTTGAAAAAGATATGGTTAGTACACGTTCTTAAGTTTTATTATTTTTAGTATTAAATAAATAATATAATTTTCAAAGCTTAAACAAACTTTTTTTTATGTTTTCTTATTTCTCAAATCAAACTTATCTTTAAACATTATTTATTTGAACTCAAATGAAAGTCCAATTTTTATTTTTAAAGTGAATTTATTCATTTTGAACTCAATACAATTTTGATAATATTAGTTTTGAAAAATAGATTAACTTAATAAAGTTGTTTTATAAGACAAAGTTTTCCAACATTTAACGTTTTCTTATTTCTAAATCAAAACTATCTTTAAACATTATTTATTTGAACTTAAATGAAAGTCTAATTGTTGTTTTAAAAAAAAAACTTATTCATTTTGAACTCAATACAATTTTGATAATATTGGTTTTGAAAAATAAATTAACTTAAGAAAGTTGTTTATAAGACAAAGTTTTCTAACATTGAATTTGTTTTATTTTTTTGTATTAATTCACGAAGTTTTAATATTTGAATTTTATATTGTTGGAAAGCTCTTAAGTCTACTTTCTAATGGATCAAACAAAATCTAAATCTAAATTTTTTAAGAAAATATTTTGGATTTTTACTGGACACCTTGTGGTTGTCTAAAAACTATACAAATGCTAGTTTTAAAAATTCACTATAATTCGTATACAATGAATTAGGTGATTAATTTTATATGGATAGAAAGTCTTTTAAGTCTAGTTTCTAAATCTTCAAACGATTTTTTATTTGGAATTGTATAACTCAAAATATGATCAAATTAGTGAGTAGAGTATAAAATAAGATACAACCACCTAACTTGATCAGATCGATCCCCTGGCTGAACCGATCGATCTCCTCTTTTAATAGATCGATTCATTTTTCATACAGAAATAAAATAGATTTGAAAAACATAAAAAATGATCAATCCCCTATAAGAAGGGATTGATCAGGTAAGGCACATGATCAATCCTCTATCAAAACCAATTGATCTAGTCTACCAAAATATATGCATAACAACTAGTTTTTCAAGCTTCTAATGGGTATTTCTTCTTCCAAACTATCTCTAACGGCTAGTTCTTCAATTTCTCTATATATCTAACACTTCAACATACCAAAAAGGTTGATGAATCAAGAGAGTAAGATCAAATAATTCATATTTTTATTCTCTCAAAGAAATCAAGAGTTTTAGAACTTAAATTTAATGTCCTTTATATTTCTTGTATACAAAATATTGTTGTGTTTTGTTCACCATTTTCTTTGTACTTTATTATGTAAACACTCAACCTTAAGAGGTATTTTAGTTTGCAAAAATCATTTAGATTATCTTGTAAACAAAAGGTGAGGTATCCTCTTGATATTGTAAAGGTAGATGTTACTATTTAAGCCTTAAGAAAAGAATTAAGATTTAGTACAAAATAGGTTTATATCTTGTAAGAGTTTTTCTTCAATTAATAAATTAAAGCCTCAGTGTGGACAACCAAGAAAAAAAGATGTAGATGCCTTGTGAAGAAGGACCGAACCTCTATAAATCATTGTGTTTGATTTCTCTATCTTTATCTCTTTACTTTGCATTCATTGTTATCATTTATATTTGCTTTAAGATTAGTAATTTATTGTTATTTACATCATATTTTTATATTGGTTTTAATTCCACATTCAATTGTATTGAAATCATTATTTGAAAAAATTTTAAAGAAATCCAATTCACTCCCCCTCCTGGATCACCATCTCACTTAAAAAACTAACATTATTCTTTTGACATGTAGACAACGTTAAACAAATGCCATGTGTCCTACATTTAATAAATATATATTATTAATTTTATAAATAATTTTAAAAAAAAATTAATTACAATTATTTACTTCTAAATAACTAATATTCTTGCTTTCAATACATAAATTACTATTAAATACATTATAATCACTATCAATCAAATTAAATTAATTAGCCAAGAAAAAGTTTTCTTTTATATTATAAGTTTTGAATCGGTTGTAAATTAAGATAATTTAAAGTACACCATAAATATATATATTAATATGTAAATTTTATATACAGTAATATATAAATTTTTTGTGAAAGGAATCCAACAATGAAGACTAGCATTTATTTGATTTTTCTTGCTATGGAAACAATTAAATTAATCAAATTTTAAATTTTTTATTTTCAGCCAGAATTATAAGGATTTCTCCTTTCCCATAAATAGTTTATGTTGTCTATAAATATCATCTTATGAAAGTGATTGTAGATATGGATTTTAAACTTTACCTACTAACTTTTTATTTTTTATTTTTTATGCAATAACCAATAGCTATTAAAATATTTTTCTTTCATGTTCTTTTTTTAACACAATTTAATCTTTATGCTACCTTAAGTTATTGGTTTGTAATATATTTTATAGTATACTTCTTTGGTTTTATATATATATTTTTAATTGATTCTTTTTATTATTAGTTTTTACATTATTTTGATTTATCAAGTTATTAAATTATTTATATTACTTTGGATAATATACAATTTAAGAAAAGTTGTATTTTGGATAAGAATAATGTTAGCTTTTCTTTTATTATGCAAACTAAATCTTAAATTTGCATAATCTTAATGTCCAAAGTTTTAAAACAAGATGATTTTTACAATTTTCTAATTAACGATAAGTCATACCTTAATTCATTATAACTTTCTTTAATAAAATGTTTTATGAATTTTTTCTCTCTTTTGACATCTTTAATTTTCACTTTTCATGTCTTGTTGATGGAGAGCATACATACATTTTATAGGCAGAATGAAAAGTGATTTTACTCTTTGATTTATTAACTTTTATTAAAATATTCTATTAACGTATGAAATAATTAACCACATATAACTCCTTTCTTTTTGATCAATAAGTTTTTTTTTTTAACTCATAGCATTCATTAAACCATTATTATCTTTTAAGTAAAATTAAAAGATATTTACTTAATGTTGAATAACTTGCATGTAAGCCACATAAATCCAACATTCTATCACTAGGCCTATGTGTTATTATTCAACTTTATGGTTTAATAATAAAAAATAATATGTAAAATATAAGTTAAATCATTTCTTAAGTTGATTAAATCATAAATCATCATTAAGCAAAAACTAATAAGGATAATGACAGTTTTATGTCATTAGCTCAACATACTCCCTTCTATGTATCGCATTATTAGTCCCTTCTATATATCACATTATTAGTTCTATAATTAACATGACATTTAATGTGAGATACCATAATAGTATAACAATAATCTTTTTGTTAGAAACAAATCCTATTTATATTTCATATAATTCAATCATGTATATATACTAACATAATTGAACATGATACGTTAATTTGTCCAAAAGTATTGAAAAAAGCTCAGAATGTCAAATTCATAAAGAACATAAAACTTTACCATAGTTTCAATAATAGTTTTCAATAATACTCATTTTTTCAACATGTTCATTAAATGTCTTTAGGGACAAACCTTTTGTTAATGGATCTGTAACCATAAGATTGATGCTAATGTGTTCAATTGACACTTTATTTCTATACTTTTTTTTTAACAGCAAAATATTTCAATTCCATATGTTTAACA